AAAAAAAAAAAAGAAGTAATTACTCTATCCTCGTATTAAGGACTATGAACCTCACAGAGTTAAGGTTAAACATTACCCATAATTTAATAACACAATGTTTATCCAACAATGTGTAATGTAGTATACTGCCTACATACCTGGCTTATATATATATTCCCACTTTATGGAGAATTATAGAAAGAAATGTGACTTGTTACTTTTAAATTATAGCTTAATCAGTATTTATTTGACAAGTTCTATAGGTTGAATATTTCAACCTTTTTATCATTTCTCTTTTTTTCTGTGATATTTTTAATTCATAAAATTCATAAAAGTTTTGGAGCTGGGAGAATTTTAGAAATCACATTTTCTAGATGAGGAAGTAAACCCAGAGATGCTAAGTGACTTGCCTATAGCTAAAAAGCAAGCTTGTAAGGGAATTCTGAGATACCTTGTTTCTTATTCTCAGTAACAGTTCCTACCAATACGTTATGATGTCCCCTGTTGTTAAATTTCTAAGACTATGTCAAATTCTGTTTAAGTACATTTACCTACTTCTTTGTGTAGTCTGTTTAATTCAGCACATTTGAAATATTTTGAGTCATTTATGAGCATGTAGAATATGAACCTATAATTTGATGGTGTTAACTAGAAAACTTGAAAGAATAATTATGAAAACTGCTATTTTTTTTAAGAAGGGAATTAAGAGCTCAGAATTGAAATGTATCCATCATTAACTTAAAAAATGTATGCCAAAAAAATGTATGCCAATGTTATTCTCAAAATACTTCAAGGCCACATCTGAGCTTTTAGATAAATAATATAAATTAAATTAATATTTTTCCAAGTAAAAATTTACTATCCAAAATATGTGATATTATATCATTGTAAAGAGAGAGAGAGAGAGGTGAAAGGTGTTGAGAGGAGGAAGAGGAAGGGAGGAAGAAAAAAAACCCTGCAGATTTTATTGAGAAAAATTTGTAATGAGTATAATACATATAGAAGCTCTACAATTTATTTGCAAATATAGTAATCTCTCCCAAACTAAAAATTGATAGGTACATCTTCTCTGTAGCTTTTAGAAATTTGGCTTGTATGAATGCAGTTCTTGAGCCATTCTTATAGAGAAAATTGTTTTCAATTTTTTTTTCTTATTTTAAGTAAACTCTATGCCACACATGGGACTCAACTCATGATCCGAAGATCAAGAGTCACATGCTTTACTGACTAAGCTAGCCAGGCTCCTGTCTTACAGAGATAGTTTTTGTTTGTTGTTTTTTTTTTTAAGATTTTATTTATTTGACAGAAAGAGAGAGAGCACAAGTAGGCAGAACAGCAGGGAGAGGAAGAGGAAGAAGCAAGCTCTCCACTGAGCAGAGAGCCTGACATGGGGCTCGATCCCAGGACCCTGGGATCATGACCTGAGCCGAAGGCAGCCGCTTAACCGACTGAGCCACCCAGGCGCCCCCAGAGATAGTTTTAAAAAGAAGAAACTGGAGGTTGGATAAAGAAAAGGAGAGTAAAGTAAATGGAGGAGGAAAGTAAGAAGTTTTGGATACAGTCTTAAACATGAAAAATAAAACCAGAGGCAAAGAACTCCATTCCTGTTTCTGTTAAAGGGATGGCACTGAGATGAATATGAAAAATCTGGACAGAAAGTAGTATTCAGTTATAATAGGTTCTGTATTAGAGAAGAGCTTGAGAAACATTTACATTTTTTAATAAGTTAAAAGTCAGACAATATTTTATTTTTTTATAAGAGTTTTTTTTAAGATTATTTATTTATTTTAGAGAGAGAGACTATGAGCAGTGGGGAGGGGCAGAGGGAGAGGGAGAAGCAGCCTCCCCGCTGAGCATAAAGCCCAATTTGGAGCTCGATCACAGGACCCCGAGATCATGATCCGAGCCGAAGGCAGACACTTAACTGACTGAGCCACCCAGGCACCCCTAAAAGTTACACAATATTTTAAATCAACTATATATTTTGCATCTCTAGGACTGGGTATGGGGGGGTTGGAGAGATAGGATTAACTGAGAATCATAAGATCTGAAAAGTATTAAACATTTAGAATGAGGTTAGGCTTCTTTTTTTCTTAATTGTCTTCTTAATGTGCCTAGTAGGCCTAACAGAGCAAAAACAAATTTGAAGTGGGAGTGGGAGATCCTGAAAGGTTTCTAGTGAGCAAGGAATGATAAACCACATATTTATTACTCATTAAATAATAGGCTGTTGGTCTCTGTTTTTATTTATTTTATTCATTTTTAAAAAGATTTTTTTTTAAAGATTTTATTTATTTATTTGAGAGAGATAGAATGAGACAGAGAGAGCACATG